TTTTGAAAAAGATAGCCGGAAACAATATTTATATGATGGAAAAGCTGCTTCAACCATTATTAATGCACATGTATCGTACATATTCTTGCTCTAGAGTTCTGCAACGTTAACGCATCGAACCAAGCAAAAAGGATAAGTGAGAATTCAAACATGACTTTGGAAAAGTTTGGTTTTTCGGTTTAACCGAAAACCGAAATACAAAAACCGTAAACCGCACCGAAAAATCGAAAATTAATAATTTTAAAACCATGCACCGACCGAAAAACCGATTAAACCGAAAAATCGAAATTTACGGTTCGGCCGGTTTTTTCGGTTCGGTCGGTATTATGCCCACCCCTACATCAAATAATATAAGAACAATAAAAGCTGGTAAACATATACAATTAGAATATACAATTAAGGCAAGTAGAGACAGGTAGCAAATGGGCAGAAAGTGTGTGAGAAATGAATAATTTAAAGCAAGTAACAATTAAAAAGTATAGCATAGATGCCAAGTAAGAACATGAAACATTTAAAGCATATAACAAGAAGTAACATGGAGTAAATGAAGACATGGAAATAAATAACTCAATCCAGCATGATAAACCTCATGACGGTGCATATACACTCGTCACCTCACATATACAGCGTTCCATACACAATTCACATAACAAATAGTTCAACAAGTCCTAATTTTCTCAAGTCGAGGTTAGACACAATATTTATCTCACTCCGCGAACAAAGCAATCAATCACCCACAACCCTGCCATTTTAACAAGCCTATAAACTAAGCAAATCTAGCAAATTATCGATCAAACGATTCAAAATAAGTTTTAGAAACTACCCATTAATGAAAAAGGTTCAATATTGATCAATTTTGAAAAAGTCAACAGTCAACCTTGGGTCCGCTTGGTCCTGACCAAAACTCGATTACCCATTAACCCCACTCCCTCCCCCGTTATATGATTTGTTTTAAAATCCGACTTCAATTTGAGGTCTAAATCTCAATTTTACAAAATTCACAATTTATACCTAAATCCCTAATTTCTATCATAGAAATCCTAGATTTGATGTTGAAATCTCATGAAAAGTAGTGGAGAATTGAAAGAAAGTGGATTAGAGTTGCTTACCAATGATTTTTGGAAGAAGAAATTCTTGAAAAGCCGCCTCTAGAGTGTTTAGAGTTGAGAAATGGCATAAAATGAGCTAAGTCCCGCCTTTTCCCTCTTTTACCCAGCCACATGCATCACAATTGCGATGTCTTGTTCGCAATTGCGAACCCACAAGCACAGAATTCGCAAATGCGACAACTAGTTCGCAAATGCAAAAAGGCCCCCTTCGCAAATGTGCCCAAAAGCTTCGCAAATGCGCCACTATCTTCGCAAAAGCGACCAACGTCAGTTCGCAAAAGCGAACCCACTCCTCACAAATGCGAGGTCACCCATCCCAAGCCCTGCTTGCAAATGTGAACTTTTGTTGCAAAAGCGAGGCTCGCAAATGCGAGACATACCTTGTAATTGCGAGATCTGCATCAGACATCAGAAGCAAACACTGCACCAACAGTCCTCAAACTATCCAAACTCATCCGTAGCACCTCTAAAACTCACCCGAGCCCCTTGGGCTCCATCTAAACATGCACACAAGTATAAGAATATCATACGAACTCTCTCGTACGATCAAAACACCAAAATGACATCTAAAACTACAAGTCGAACATCAAAATGAATGAAATTCAAAGGAAAACTCAAGAACCTCTAGAATGGGAACCAAGCGTACCAATCCTATCAAACCAACTCCGAATTCACCAAATTTGGCAGACAAGTTTCAAATAGCAATACGGACCTAATTTCAAGTCCCAAAACTAAAATCCGAACCCGAAAGTCATAAAGTCAACTTACGGTCAAACCTAGGAAATTTTCAAACTTTCAAGTTGCTAACTTTCGGCAAAATAAGTCAAATCAACCTAGGGACCTCCGATTTCAGTTTCAAGCATACGCTCAAGTCCAAAATCACAATACAGACCTATCAAAATTGTCAAAATACTGATCTGGGGTCGTTTATACAAAATATTTGCTGTAGTCAACTCAAGTTATTTTTATTCTTCAAATTTTTACGTAAAAACTTTGTGAAAAAAGACACGGATCACGCAGGCAAATCAAGAAAATATCAAATGAAGCTAATGGAGGTCTCAGAATACGGAAATAAAGGTTAGTACTCAAAATGACCTATCGGGTCGTCACATATACATAAGTAAACACATGAAGAAGCTTAAACATTCTTTTCACGTGTCATCGTACAACACTACCTTTTGTTCGACAATTTGTACCCTTCTTCTTATGTTTCTTCTTTGGAATTTTCTCCTTGATAGATGTGCCTATTTAGCTTTTTTTACATATAATACTAATAATAACTATAGAAACTAAAATTAAATCTGAAGAATGAATGGTTTCTGCTTAATCTTGGACAGCTTTACGTTAAAGGCTCATGTATGAAGAGAAACTCACTCTCCCATCTATACTTTTTTGTATCTATTTTATTTAGATCAGATTTGTAGTGACAATTCAATATCTAAAAGAGATAAAACGGACCCATTTAGGAACAAGAAAATACCATCGCAAGTTTATCAACCGCTTTTGTGTGATCACTTCCCAAACAAATATAGATTTTTTTCAAAACAGAAAGGCCAAAATTATAGCTAAACTTATTGACGATTTATATAATTACATTGGAGATGCATGGTAATATAAAATATATCAAAAAAATTAGAAAAGAAAAAACTAAATACAAGTAAGAGAAGATTTTAGAGCTCAAAAGAGATGAACGTAGATGAAAATTTTGAAAAGTGAAATAAGGTTAGACAACAAAGTATCACCAGAGAGCATTACAAGAAGGGGCTCATTGGGTGATGAAAATGGCTAATTTCATCAAATAAAGAATTTATGTTTTAAAAGATTTATCGAGTAGCTAAAGAAAATAAAAAAATATTTGAATATAAAAAAAATTCAGTTTAGACCTAACTTAGAAATATTAAGATGATGAAAAAGAGTAAGAGATTAAATTTAGATCATACAAAGAAGAACTATATATGCTGACAACTTCCTCAACGTTAATTTATTTTTCAAGTCAATGACTCTTGCATACATCTCAAACAGAACTTACACTCATGATGAGATCTTAGCTGAAACTTAAACAAATTGTTGCATCATTCGCATGGTACTCAATAGTTACAACATGTTACACGTTCTTTATGAACTTCATCAATGCTTCTACACTTGTTTGAGATTCTTGGTTATAGACTGCTCCAACTTTACCTTTGAAAACTTATTAATTGAAACGTATTGTGTTTTTGGGAGTTCAAAAGAAATAAACGTGTGAGGGTTGCAAAGAAGTTACTTAACAATATTTGGGGGATTTGCATCTATACCCGCTTTTTGGGTCACGTTTTAACTTGTGCCCGCTTTGCAAAAAAAAATTGCTAGCGTACCCACTTTTTCGCGTAACTTCAGCATACAGGGCTGAAGTAGCAAAGGCAATCACGCAAAACTTCAGCATTCTAGTAGACGGGCCTGAAGTAGCAAGTGTGCTGAAGTTTTTGTTTGTAATTGCCGAACTTAAGCATAGTAGCTGAAGTTTTGTTCTCTATTTGCTGAAGTTTTTGTTTATAATTGCACTAAATAAGCTAAAGTTTTTTTGTCTTGGATTCATTAGTTCTTTCATTAAGCTTTTTCAAAAACTTCAGCAGAAGATGCTGAAGTTATTTAGTTCATTTATAAAAACTTCAGCACTAAATAAGCTGAAGTTTTTTTGTCATGGATAAGCTTTTTCAAAAACTTTAGCAGAAGATGCTGAAGTTATTTAGTTCATTTGTAAAAACTTCAGCAGAAGATGCTGATGTTATTTAGTTCATTTATAAAAACTTCAGCACTAAATAAGATGAAGTTTTTTTGTCCTGGATTCATTAGTTTTGTCATAAAGCTTGTTCAAAAACTTCAGCAGAAGATGCTGAAGTTATTTAGTTCATTTGTAAAAACTTCAGCACTAAATAAGCTGAAGTTTTTTTGTCCTGGATAAGCTTTTTGAAAAACTTTAGCAGAAGATGCTGAAGTTATTTAGTTCATTTGTAAAAACTTCAGCACTAAATAAGCTGAATTTTTTTTGTCCACAACATTAAATAAGCTGAAGTTTTTTTTGTCCTGGGTTCATTAATTTTGTGATAATCAGACTACTATAAAATAATCAGATTGCCAACAGTATCTAAATCATAAAATTTTGGAAACAAATAAACGTGAAAAGAACAGAATTATCATGAAAAGAATCACTAAGTGTGACCTTAAACTTCCCGTACGTGAAAATATTCACAAATATTATCTACTAACTTACGTAATTATTTATAATTTATTTTTAAATAATCTGATAAACATACTTATGGCAATCATCCCATGAACTGAAGTTTCATAGCAGCACCAACAGCAGCAGAAGAAAGAAGAAGAAGAAGAAGAAGAAGAAAACGAAGGAGGAGGAGGAGAAGGAGGAGAAAGGGGGCTGAAGTTGTTTAAAAAGTGGGTACAAGTTAAAACTTTTTATAAAAAATGGGTATAAGTTAAATGGGGGCGACCAAATAGGGTGCCCCGTGCAATTTTTGGGAGTTTAAAAGAGATTTTTATTTATACTTTTGTGATAACAATAATGAAGCAGCACAACTTTACTACCTTAACTATGCAATTGGGCCTGGGCTCGCAACAAGCAAATCAATAAAAGGGAATTTCGTTTAAGTAGATTCTCATATCAAATATGTGGTAGTTTTCTTTTCCCAAATCAAAATTGAAACTACATAAATTAATTAGTGTGGCAAAGATTTGTTGATTAAGTCAAATGATGCATGTTTTATCTTAATTAAGACAGATCCAAGAAGATAACAGATTTCCCTTCTAAGATATATAAGGTGCCTTACCTTCTACAATTTATACATTTCATTTCTTATTTAGAGGAGAGAATGCACCTTCAACTATATTTTGCAACTATGAAGGATCAAGTCGAGATCTCCTTTTATTTGTCATTGCTTCAATGGAGGATAAGAGTGAGTAAGATCACCTATGCAAACTACCAATTACTAGAAACTCCAATGGTTTACTAGAGCCTTTGAGCATTTATCATATATACAACCACGTAGGGGTGAAGAGAAACATTTACAGGTACATAGAAGTACAAATGAGTCTTGGTATTTCAGATTGAACTTCGGACTGCTATCATTTCTGCACAAAGAAGAGAATTTACAAGCTGCATCCTTACGTTGATACTAAGGGGCTGCTGACGGCATTGATAAATACTGCCGCCACTCCTCCGGTGTCCCCTTTTTCGATCTTAACATTTTTATAGCCGAGCTGGTCAAAGGTATAGCAAGAATGTCATACTCTTTAGGGGCCTGCAAGATCACAATTAAGCAGCCTTTTATCTGGTAAAACAAGAGTATTGGCATTTCTGCTGACCCTTTTTGCTAAACATGATACTTCACCCCCAAACCACCTCAGAGAAGAAACATAAAAAAGGAGAACGAGAAACAAGTAAAATAAAACAGGAAAAAAAAAAAACAAGGAAAACGGTAACATATATGAAACTGTTTTCAATTAAGAAGCTTTCCCACAGTTCTGGAGCTATGAAGCTACTAAGATAAGAATCAGTAATACCTTAGGTTCTTTCATAAGCTTCATATTTGCTTCCTCGGGTGTCTTATGACCCTTCCTTGAGTTGCATCTGGAACAGGCAGTGACCTATTGGAAGAGATATTAACGTTAAGCACCAATGTGAACTTCCAGCAGCGAAAAACTTGTGGGCCTATATATCCCATCTTTCCAGCTCAGAACAGAAGCAGGACAAATGGATTAAAACGATTTCAAATTAAGATTTAA